ATTTTTTTCTTTTAGATTTTTTACCTGGATTACTGAGATGCATCAGGACATAAACAGCCTACATTATTTTTACAGTCTTTATTTTACAGTTAAAGTATATGTTTATCAAATAAAGTCTAACGTTACAACTAATCAGGGATCCCTTTAAGTAAAAGACAAGCATTCTTTAAATGAATGAATGTCACCCACAGACTTTCATGTTGGTGTTGAAAACTAAGATCATCTTGTGGAGGATGACTCTCAGCTACTACCACACATTGTTTGAGCTCAGAGTCTGTAGAGTGGACTAAGTTGTAACTTTGTTTATGTTCATGTTTTCAAAGTTTGATTAGCTGTGTCGGCCATCTTGAATCTGCTCTGGTACCTGCTGGTGGGGTCCTGCAGGGTGACTCTTTGTGTGGCTGAAACACATCCTCCACTTCCTGGTTCTTCTCTCTGCTTTCCAGGGACGTGGTTTCCTTCGCCGTCCAGAACCTTCATCTCCAGTTCTGGTGACCAGCACCGGACCTGACACTCCACGGTGACCCCTCTACTATCAGCAGAAACCATGTGGAGCTTCAGGTCCAAATAAACAGCTGGGAAAACAGGACCTGAAAAAACGGTGAGCTCTGAGTGATCCGACACGTTTCTCAGGTGAAACATCTCRTAAATCAGTGTGACGTACCAACATCCAGCTCCACCACTGTTTCCTCTCTGGTWCCATCCTTCAGGATCTCTAAGCAACTGTAGGTTCCTGCATCGGACGGCTTCAGGTTGGAGATCCTCAGCGAGGTGTTCCCGTTTTTCAGCTCCTTGTGGAAGAGGCTCGTCCGGAACTCAAAGTCCTCGTTCTTCATCTCGGGGATCTCGAAGCCGGTCCGGTACAAGAAGACTGTTCTTGAGTTCAGGTCCTTCTTGTACCACTCCAGGGTTCGCAGGACATCACTGGAGGAGGACTTCAGGCGGCAGGGCAGGATGACGACCCCGCCGGCGGGGGCCCACACCTGCTCAGACTGAGCATGAGCAGCAGACGCTCCTGAGAGGAGGAGAACAGAAACATGAACCTGATCAATTCAAAACAAATGAATGATTAGACTCGTTCTATTTCTGTGGAATATTTAGTTCCTGCTGAAAAGTTTAAACAGATTTTTCACAGATAATTACTGAAAGAAAGTGAATGGTTTTCATGTAGTCCTTCTCTTACAGCTGTTTGTTCAAATACTCATAAAACACTGAGGTTTACTTCCTGTTCACACTGCTTTAAAACAGATTTTCTGTTTGCACTTCCACATTTGAGCTTCTCTAAAGAAAAAGAGATTTCACTGATGTACTCATGTGAWCTCGACACAGAACATTTGACAAACAATGCCTCAGCAGACTCGTTTCTGCACAATCATTATGACTTATCTTTTTTAAACTCTAATAAGGCTTTTAAATTCCTGTATTTTTCCTCTCAGTCAAAACTATAAACTCTTTTTGTTCAAGTCACGGCACGCCTMTCAGCTGTCATTAACAGAGATTAACCTCACTGACTCTGAGATTCTTCTTGGCWAAATATCGAACCATAAAAACCAGTTAAACTCAACACAGATTTTTTATTGAGCTAAAAAAAAGAAAATACAGAGAATCTTGAACAAACGGAGTGATAAAATCTATTAATTTGGCACAAGTTGCAGAATTTTCCACTCTGAACAAGAGCARGTGACAGAAAACCTTTTATTGTGCAGGTTAGTTAATAATGTCRTGACGATAATAAACTAAATGAGGCTCTGTTGACATTAATTACATTAACACTTGTAGGGGTCACCTCGAGTGWAGAAACGAGATTTACTGCCTCGAAGCAGGCCTCGGACACCAAAGTTCGTCTGTTTCTTTTACGAACCCGGACGGCTTTCAGCGACACACTCTTCTTCCTGATTCCAACCGAGGAAGAAAGCTGGGATTCTCTCCGGAGARAAACCCAGTTTGGCTTTTAAGTCTGAGCCCATGAGCTAACTAGGGGAGACTTAACAGCCAGGGACCCGGCACGCCGCCGGTGGTCTCACCCCAAGGCTTCAAGCCTCTAAAGTGTGTTTTTACCTCCTGTGGGGAGATTTTATTTTGGAAAGAAGGGACCGGATATACTGTAGCTTGAATTTTTCTGGCTTGGACTGAAACAGACGAAAGTTACCTAGAAAACACCTGCTCGCCAGTGACC